GCTGCAGCAGCCGGCTCTGCGCAGAGCCTCACGTCTCCTCAGGACCCAGGTTCACCTCCCCACATCTACCTTGAGGCTGGAAAGCTGGGCCGGAAAGTGTGGTTCCCACCGGGCAGCCTTCTGCACCCAGCACCATCGTCACCTGCCGACAGAGATGGACGGGGTAATCTGGCAGCATCCGAGCTGCCCTCATCCACCAAATGCTCCCAGGAGCGACCTGGGGGAAGTGCTCTCTCCACCTCCCAGGCTGGGATTCCCAGGCAGGGGATCCTGGCTGCCCAGAGGCAGAGTCCCCCCGTTCGGTGTTCAGCACGGAGGTTCCCCACTGTGCTGGGACCCTCAGATGCACCCATACCGTACCAGTAACAACACCCACCTGAGGCAAACAGGATGGTCAAGCCCCGGGCAGCTGCCTTCATGAACTCCGTGTTTACACGCTCCATGTAGGCTAGTGACAGGCTGTCCTCATCATCCCCATAGCTCACAGAGTGCACCCAAGGCAGCGATGACATGTTGCTGAGCAGCAGCAGCCAGGCCAGGAAGGGCTCCTGGCTCTCGTGCCTCCCTGCAGGGACAAAGGCAGAGCAGGTTCAGCTCCTCCCAGGACACCAGGCTCGAGAAAAGTGCAGGATAGCATAGGGGGGGACCATGCCTCAGCACCACCAGCAGCAGGAGCTGAAGGTCTTCCAGCTCCTGCCCTGCCTACAGAGAGCAGATCCACAGCACAACTGGTTTGGAGCTCTCGGGGATTGCCATGGTGGATGGCACCAGGCTCCAGCCAAGCCTTGGCCCCTTTACCCCTAACCGTGGGTCCCAGAGCAGTTTGATGTACGTTCCACCTCTATCCGCCAAGGTCCCTTCCTGCCCCTCATCCCTCTCCATGAGGTGGGGAGAGCAGAGCCCCAGCCACCCCTTCTCGCTCTCAGTGGTTTATGCAACTGCCTGTCTCTGCACCCTTTCCACGGAGGTGGAAGTTAACGCAGAGCTGTGCCTGCCTCCACCGTCAGCAAGACAGAGCTGGTAGTCCTAAGGGCACTCCATCTCCTGTTTGGCCAGTTTCTGATCTGGGACAGATCACGCTTTGTCCTACAGCACCGTAGCCATGTTTCTACAGGCTGTTTTGCAACCTTGTTTTCTCAAATTGCCTTACTCTCCTTTATTCGCTCTACTGCTAGATTCATGGGTGAGAGATCAGCTTCAACCCCAAAGAAGCAGGAAAAAAATAAAAAGACACAGTTGCTGCACTCCCCCTCCATGGAAAGGCAGCAGAGCAGGGTGACTGCTTTACATTGTGTAGTCGAGGCGTGGAAGTCCCTGTTACAGGATACTCTGGATGCCGAAAGTTCACATCGGTTCAAAAGCAACTACACAGATCAATGGAAGATGACTTCCCTAAGAGCTATTAGAACCCAGCATCAGCTCCAACTTCAGAAGCCCACAAGGTATGTGCCCCTAGTAGCTGGGAAAGCATTCTGGGGATGTACCACATCCAGCGTGCCGATCATGTATGCCTCTCCAGGCGTTCCCCTTTGACAGATACCAGACAGACTCAGTACAGCCATTTTTTATGCAGAGAGCAAGCGTTTCCCTTAACAGCAGGCAGGTGTGTTGGTGCTACGGCAAGTGGGATGCACGGAAGCAGTCACAGGGCAACTCTGGAGGGGGATCAGTACCTGCATTGCTGAAGACCCATGTGGAGATGTTGGCACCCGTGCTCATGATGTATTCCACGTCCAGACTGGCCTCCAGCCCAGCCTTGCCCTTGCCCTGGTGCCCAACCACTTGGTCAACCTGACAGCGGTGGCCAAAGCTGCTGCCAAAGAGCTGCATAAACTCAGCCAGGTCAGCCTGGTGGAAATACTGTTCCAAGAACTGGGGGAACAAGGAGTGGACAAGTTTTTTTCTCGTTTTCTCTTGAAAAAACAAGGTAAGTTTTTTCTCTTGACTTAGAAAGTTGGCCCAGCACGGATCTGTGAAATGCTAGCCCACCGGGTGCTCCCACCAGCCGCTGAGGAATCCCCACAGCTGTCCTGGGACCACCAGAGCAGCAAAATGTTGGAGAAGCACCAACGTGTGGAATTCCCATTCCCTCCGACCTAGACCGGCTCCACCAGTTACCTGGGCACAGGCCTGGCTGTTGTTCGGCAGTAGCCCGATGTCTCCTCCTGTCATGTTGTATCTCTTACGAATGATGGAAGGCGTCACGCCCAGGTGGAAAGCCGCTCTCCCTCCATAGTGCTGCCTTGACTCCGTTTCCTTCTTGGCCCAGGCTCTGCTGACCACCTTTCTCTCCGCGGGGAACCGGTGCAGACCACCCACTGGTGCGCAAGCAAGCAGGAAAAGCAGCAGCCGTTAGGGCTCAGAACTCCGGGAAGACAGTATTATGGCCCCTTGGCTCCCCTTCACCACCCTCACTCAGGCTCCGTGTCCGAGAAGGCTGGCCTGCAGCAGGGCTCAGGGGAGCCCAACCCCTGCAGCACCTGCCCCGAGTGCTGCACAGGAGGTGGGGAAGTGCTCCCTCAGCTTCCTCGCCAGTCCCCACAGGTTCTCCCAGGCTGCACAGCTCAGGCTCCCCACTGCCAGGCCACTACCGCAGCCCGGCACCCCTCTGCTCTCCTCGTGGAACGGCTGCGGGAGCCCACACAAAAGGGACTCACAGGAGGGAGTTTTCCCACCTCAGAAGCAACCGCACGTCCACAGAGACAGGCTGCACCTGAACTCTCTGCACTGAGCATCCAGGCCCGAGAGCACCAGTAAGAAACACTTTGGGTGCTGCCTGTCCACATCACAGAATCACAGAAGGCTTTGGGTTGGAAGGGCACTTTGGTCATCTAGTCCAAC